CTATACAAAGCACATAGTACAAAAGACACAAAAGAAGCAAGTGCTGTGAAATATGAGTATTGTTATGCCCAGATGAATACGTTACAGCCTTAAGTTTATTATCTTTTAGATGCAACTTTCCTTACTTGACTTGTATAACCATCAATTGAGACAAAGTTCAATTTCTCACCTGCTCAAGTTTTCAGATTCAAGGCCCTTAGAAGTTATGCAAATTCTACATTGTTTCATTTCAACAACTATTTATACTTGTTTTCATACATAACAGGTAATGACTTCTGCATAAAATGAATTAATTAATACTATACACCATACAAAGCTTTTTGTAACACCCCGACATACTTACAATATATTAAACTTCACTTCAGTTTCTTCTTTAACATAACTGAACACCACAGATAGATGTCATTTCCTCTCTAAAACAGTTTCTGCAATTAAATGATCTATTAAACAGTCTTGAAAATCCTTCAAACTGTAATTTCTGATTTGCCAGTCTGTTTCTAGTCTCTTTATTTTTTAACCCATTTTGTGAAATAAAAAATCCTTAAGAATACCATGGTATTACAGATTAGCACAACAAGTATAAAAATTGCAGCTAACAGCTCACTTGAGATTTTTATTACATTTATGTCTACATAAAATTCAAAAAAACCTACATAGATGAGAAAGCAGCTGAAGGGCAAAATCAAACTGTTGTCTTTATTAGATGCCAGTTTGATGTCTTTCAGATAAAATATTCGTAGGTGCAACAGTCAATCAAGATTTTAATGGAAAGCAAAAATGAAGCAAAGTGGAAAACATTCTAGCCTTCCTTTAGTTTTATGTATCAACTGCTGCCTTGACTTAGACAACCTGTCACATTCGATGCATTATTTTATTATTTTAATTATTTAGCAGCACTCCATTAATTCAATAGCCAACCTTCTTGAATAAAATACTTTTTTTCTTTAGATTGTGCACTCATGTAAAAATATGATTAAAAATATTTTAATACACATTTAGTTAAGTATGAAGGTCTAATTTACACCACATTTTATTAATGTTTACAATTAAGTTAATAATAAATAATAAAAATAAAATGTTTACTATTAAGTTAATAATAGCGTACTTTACATTTTCATCTTTTTAAGACACCTTACTGTAACACTTATTTCTTTTAGCAGGCAGCAGTTGCAAAGTAAAATATCACAGAGGTCTTAACCTCCACAGCATAGAAATAATCAGAAATGGTACTTTCCCCAAAAGAAAAAAAAAGTGAACATGTAAGTCAAAGTGACCATAAAGTCCATCATCATTATTCTTAGGAACTACAGCATCATCTTCTACATTCCATTCTAATCTATTAGCTGGACCAAAAATATCCTGAAAATGACCTATTCAGGTAAACACTGCAGAAGACATTAAAGTCAACAACTAACAAAACTTAGGAAATACCGGAGATGGTTGTCTGTGAAACTAACTCACCTACCTAACAATCCCGTTACAGTAACAATTTCTGTACAAGTATGCGGTTTTGCCACAGAAACCTAGTTTTGTTCAATGAATATAATGGAATAACCAACTATTTGAAATTTTATCTTTGTTTTTCAGTATCTGATTCTATGATTTATTTGCTATTTACTGTTGAAAACATGGTTCTGAAATAAAAATAATTAAGTTTGATCTTACACATGATTCATCATGGAAAGTAGTTTTCCAGTTGCCACACACATCTCTGTAACTTGTACTAACATATAATTAATAGCAGTAGTAGACAACTTACATCCATGCAGATGCACACAGACCAAGGCTGAGTGACGTGCCTGGGCAACTTCTTTAAATATAGTGATCAGTACAGATCAAGGAACTGGGTTCCGGTCCACAGCTGTAGAAAAGCATGTCCGCAGGTGTTAGGTTACCTCAAACCAGATGCCTTTCTGTCCTACCTTCTTCCAGCAGTTCTAGACCTAAGAACTGTTACACTGGGTGAGACTGAAGTCATAAGTCCCTTTTAGCCTATCATACAATTCTGACCCTGGCATTCAGACACTACAACAATGCTTCCCCCGGCATAACCCATTGGCTTCTGACAAACAGTGGTTTTGGAGATTCCCATTTCTCCACAAGCTTTATGTCCCATTCCTTTTACCGTATTAGGCAACCATTGTCAGCAATAAGAGGCCTGAGCACCTTCATGCCACAGTTTTCAAACACAATACTTTCTTAAACTATGTAAGTTTACATTAAGTGACTTCAAAAGCTCCCACATAGCAAAGCATGTACCTCCAAGTTACCTACTTCCTGAACTCGTATAGGTTACTGCAATATCCAGGAAAATCAGGGTATGTCAAAGAAAAGTCTGAAGTTGTTGTTGGTTTTTTTTCAGCCTGCAGCAAACAATGCCATGCCTCAAAGCTATTCAATTTTTAGAAATGAGCAGACAAGTCTCCCCAAAACTGCCCATTCTCTTCCCTCACAAAAAAAGAAGGTTGGATACACACTCATTACACAGCATTTAAACCTGGATAGTTTTAAAACACTGCACAACTATAATCAAACAACATGAAAACTACAATAAATGCCAGAGCAGCCATACCACATCAAATGAAAAGTCTATCTAACCAAAGATCTTGTTCCCAGCAAATGTCAAAAGTGGATGCACAGAGAAGTATTTAAATACAGCATGAAATCTTTGCTTCCTCTGAGTAATCTATTACGAAGGAGTTGCTGCTCCAAGACTTCCGAAGCCAGATGCAGCTCCTATGCTCCTCCAACAGGTTTCTTTGCCAATGATGTTCAGTCTCTCCCCGAATCCATGCAAAATTTTAGAATCATAGAATCATCTAGGTTAGAAGGGATGTTTCAAGATCATCAGGTCCAACCATCAATGTAACACTGACAAAACCACCACTAAACCATGTCCCTAAGCACCATGTCTACCCATCTTTTAAATACCTCCAGAGATGGTGACTGCACCACTTCCCTGGGCAGCCTGTTCCAATGTTTGATAGCCCTTTCAGTGAAGAATTTTTTACTACACCAAACCTCCTCTGGTGTAACTTGGGGCCATTTCCTCCTGTCTTATCACTTGTTACTTGGGAGAAGAGACTGACCCCCACCCCTCCACAACCTGCTTTCAGGTAGTTGTAGACAGCAATAAGGTCTCCCCTCAGCCTCCTTTTCTCCAGGCTAAACAACCCCAGTTCCCTCAGCTGCTGTTCATAGAACTTGTTCAGCAGACCCCTCACCAGATTCGTTACCCTTCTCTGGACACACTAAAGCACCTCTATGTCTTTCTTGCAGTGAAGGGCCCAAAACCGAACACAGTATTCAAGATGGGGCTCACTGGTCCAGAGGACAGGGGATGCTTACTACCCTAGTCCTGCTTACCACACTATTCCTGATACAGGCCAGGATGCTGTCAGAATCCACAATGGATGGTGAGGTGTTGATACTGTGAAAGGAATCACCTGCTTCTGTTTGTTTTGAACCTGCTAAGGCTCTTCATTTAGAGTCTCTAGCTGTACTGGAAGACCTAGCGACCAATCACCCTTTAGTCACCTTTTCCATGCTAGACCTCACAGGTCTTTATCGTTCCCCCTTCCCTTTGTTTGACACACAGATTGAAAAGTTAGAGCTTACTAACTATTTTTAAAACAGAAGGCAAATTTTTCACCAGTCCTACTGTCTCTCTCAACTTTTTCCAAATCTCTATTCCCTTTACTCCTTGCTCATTTCTTGTAAACCTTAAAAGCAATTTTTGAATGATCCTATCATAAGTCAATGTCACTTGCCCAGTCTACAACATGTATCAACTTGTTTACCAGTGAAAACCAAAAGCATCAAGGTATGCAAATAGAGAGTTCTGCACTTTGCAAGTTGGAAAAAGAATCTGAAATAGAAAAAAAAAAAAAAAAAGAGTAACAACTTTCTCAAATGAAACTATAAATGTAATTGTCCAGGTTAAAACCTGTCTGAGACGAGTTTTTAACACTGCAAGTTCACAGGTCTTTACTTTCACACCACAGCGATACACACCATCTTACTGTTCTCAGCCATAGCTTAAAAATAGCTCAGAAAAATAGTTATGCACCTACATGCACATAAAATGGATTTGAAAAGAAAACGTATAAAAATTTTCAGAATTTGGTCCTGACACACAATATCTAATTATCAACTTTCAATTGCATTCCTTATATTATACGGTTAATAGCATGCTATAAAACATGGGCTACCAGGCCAAGAAACATGCCTCATGTTCACTCGTAATCTAGAAACAAAATGAGAGGTGTAGTGTTATTGAAAATAAAACAAATTACTGTGTGAGAAGAATTTTCCTACAGACTATTGATTTTTATCCCTTAGATCTCAACCTTACAACAATAATCTCTGCTCCTTCTCAACACATGTTCTTCACACATCTGGGGTGCAAAAGCCATTACGTGCTTTGGCTAAAGTCAATTTATATGCCTGCTCACTGGCCAACAGGCTGCTGCCAAGTAAGATCTAGCATTGGTACCTTTTGTCTGCTTCGCCCTTCCCAGAGGTACTAACCAGGTTTGCATTCTCTATCCACCAACTTTCATGAAACTTCTGGAGACCCGGCTGTCTTCAATATTTATATGTTTGTATCAAATTTGGCTAAGAAGTTAAGATTCAAAAGTTACTGATGAGAAGAAGCTATGACAAGAAAAATCAACAGCACAGAGGAGACAAAGATACTAACAATGAAAATCTAATAAACAAAACCAATAATTACTAAGCTTCACTTTCATGAGCTTCACCAACCTAAAAATGCTGGTACCAAATAAAGTTCTGAGGAAAAAAAAAAAAGATCATTTTGTTTCTTAAGAATTCCTCAGAGTACTAGGAAGTGTTCCTTGTTTGCAATCACACCATAGGCAGATAAAAGTCACACAACATTAAGTAATAAAATACAGTAGGTAAGTCAAGGACAATGTTTTTCACTTTGCTGGAGGTTTGTCCTTCAAACATCTTACATACGGAAATATTGAAAATATTACCTTGAGCTAGTCTTTCAAGTCGTTTCCCATGCTCTGGAGGAATAGCATACCTAAAATTCACATAAAGAAAAGGATGAAATGCTTAAAGAGATAATTACTACACAAGCCATGATTCATATATGATAAATATCTAAAAATAAAGAAGCCAAAAAGATTAAAGAATGAAAAATTATACAGGAAAAATATACCAATTGCTGAGGAAAGAATACAGAAAGGTTTTTTTGAGAAAACATTTTAGCTTATTTCTAGTTTAAACGTTACAACATTCATTCAAGAATGCTATATTCACTATTTAAAAATAATGCATATTGACAATACCTGATTATGATCACACCGTTCCCATTAAAAAAAGACACATATACTTTCATTTTCCAAATGAAGTAAAGCCACATAAAATAAGTTTAATTTATACAGGGTTTATTTCTTTGAATTTTACTGTACTTCACAAGACACAAGAGTTCAACAGAAAAATAGGAGCATTAAACTTCTCTATTTTTTCCTATAGCTAATGCTGTAGAATAAGATGGTTACTTGTCACTGTAAAATCATTAAAATTAGAGTTTAAAAAATGATTTAAGAAACAGACTTTCTTTAATTTAAAGAATTCTATATAACTTGGAATCACTCTGCTTCTACAATAAATTATTTTTTAAAGATTCCATATGCTATCCGCAACAAGTCAGTAACTCCTTCAATACATGATATAATAGGCTTTCGTTTCAGTTTAATGTTACAACAGCATTGGATTGATTCTCCTCTATAAAAAAACATGGTTCAGAAAAGGACAAAATGCATACTCAGCTGCACAATATAGTCCAAATCCACATTTTCAAACTAAGTCAAGATACAACTTTTTTTTTGCTATACTGTGAACACAGATTTCATTTACCTCCCCTGACAACTCACTTAGAAAAAACAAGTGAAGAACCATAGGCCCCTCATTTTGCACAAAAAATAAACATCGCCCTACCTCAACCTCTCATTTGCACAGACAATTTTACTCTATTACAACTGAAACTGCTGCATAGAAGAAAGAAGACCCTTCCACCACCGAAGTCAGTGCTCTAAGTTGAACTGTAGCAAAACCAATTCCTACTGACAACCCACTCCAAATGGTATTAAACGAAAAGAGACCTTCAGCTTGAGTCTGCTCAGTGTTTCCAGTTTTAATAAGAATTTCAGTCTTAGAGAAATGGATTTTGTTCCTCTCCATTTGTACTTCCTAAGTGTTCATACCTGTTCTCCACTCTGCTCTACCCACACATCAGCATATACACAGAAATCTAAACTGTATGTTTGCATCTTTCACACCTCAGCAGAGACAAACGCTACGTATAGCATTACATACTGTACTGTGTGTCATTAAATACACAACTCCATAAAGTAAAACATGAACAGCCAGTGCTTATGTCGAACAAAAAAGTCAAACTTCAGACTCTTCTTTGCTTTACCTGCCTCTAATTGGGCTGGTAGTCTTCCTTAAAAATTACTCTTCCAAAAGTACATGTTTTTGTGATAATATGTAGCCACATGCTTCAATTTGTACACATAAATATGTAAGTACATATCAATATTACAAAAATGCAAAACTGGCCAACTGAGCTCTCAAGGAGTCTCTCAGAAAGACAAAACGGGACACGGTTTACCTGAGTTACAGCTATTTATTCAGCTAATCTAAAATTACCAAGCAATAATTCATTCAATGCAAGTTGGTGCTTTTCATCATTGTCTTCATTTTGGGCCTGCGATAACATCTACTCTTCAAACCTTTACTTATTCCCACTGTTGTCATTACTCTTCTCAAAGCTAAGAAAAGTACCAAGGAAAGGAGGCCACCTTTGTAGTATCAGACATTAGGACCCCCAAAGTCACTCTCCTTTATGGTTGGTTCCTGGCATAATGTATTAGAAAACTGAGCTTTTTAAACATATAGGCACCTGCTTTGGACACCAGTCAAATTACAGTGACATGAATCTTACTGAATCCTTGGTCTACTGTACAGAACATTAAACAAAAAAGCTCCCAAACTCAGATCACTAAGTCAGAGAAAAAAGTATTCACTCTTAGTGAATACTTAGTGAATATGAGAACTTCACCAGCGTTAAAAGCTTTTAGAAAAATATTTTTCATCATCTTGTGTCCAGCCTCCTTTTAGGTACATTACCAAACAGCCACTAACGTTTGTTTGACATCTCATATCTTAAGGCCAAGTCCAGCCTGCTTTGAAAGTAAATGTAATGGATATTAAATACTAAATCACTCAAAGGCAAAGAGAATGTTTCTTGGATAACAAGCAAAGAAATAGATAAAAAGGAAAGAAAAGATAACAAGGGAAATGTTGATGCCAACTACATTTTAATTTAATTAGTTCAGGAACACATACTTGTTAAAAATTTTGAAAAGACAGATGAAAGCTGAAAAACCACTGTTCGTTGCTAGAGTCATGCTATGAAGACAGAAAAAATTATGGTACATACATTTGTTGACTATTGTTAAAAAAGATCTTCTGAAATACTTATTAATTCAGGAAATCAAGGGTACTGGCAACAAGATAACTACAGATAAGTAATAAATATTAAATCTAAGCCATTAATTTGTGTTTCTGAAACATTTAGATATATGCTTTCAAGATTAATTCTTCTACATGATTTGTCAGTGTACTTTAAATAAGCTAACAACTGCATCTCTTTTTTTTTCCCCACAAAAATCTCAGTCTTAAGCAACAACATCCCCTGTTTATTCATGAACTGGTGGCAACGTACACTCCCTGTTCTACCTATATTCTTCCAATCCACAGGAAAGGCAATAACAGACAGAGCTGTGATCACTCAGTCCTGTCTAGCTCAGAAAACATGATTGGTGACAATTACGATAGCTCTTTTATCAAATGAAAAAACAATGTTCTGGGAACTTGGCTGAAAAGCTAGCAATTCAAAAACTGCTTAATTTTAATAACTACTTTGGTTAGTATTCGATTTGATTTTATTCTCAGATGCAAAACCTAAATAACCTTTGAGTTACTGCCACCTTCATAGTTTCTGTTCTATGAGAATGAATTTACTTTTTAATTCTTTGTACAACAACCGCTAGCCCACTACAGTAAAATACAAGCTTTACTTTGCATGGCAAACAAAGAGAATTTAGTACAGGAAAATAAAAAGTATGAAGTTTACTCCAGTTCAATTTTATTAGGAATGTTCGGATGTTGCACAGACATGCACCCATATAAACCAACATGCCTAAAAAAAAAAAAATAAATACTTATTCTCCTTTAATTTTCCTTTAAGCCGAAAATGGAATCTTTAGTAAAACTCATTTGAAGACATTAGCAAAAAGCATGTGGACCACAGATGAAACTGCTTCATTCAAAAGAAAACAGAATAAAATACAGGCTTCAGAAGGACAAATAACTAACAGACGTTTCAGAAGACACAAAGTAAACTAATAGTGTATCTTCACAGCAATACCTCCTTTTTAAAATTTCTATTTGAGACTGTTGCAGAAACAGTAGACAACATAAAATAATTCTACTACATAAAAAAGGGCTTATGGAAAACTGGACTAAAAACACTGACATGAACTGACAACAAATATTTTGAAGCAATTCTACTGTTGCTTTCTTTGTTGCTGCACTTATTTTGTGAATGGGGGGAGGGAAGGCCTCTTTTTCTCTCATCCTGTATTTCCAAGGGCTTTATACTTTTCAGAATACAGATTAAGAAAAACATTGGCTAAAAACATGTAAGTAGATAGAAACCAGAAAGAATGAGCACCACAAATGGTTGCAAATGAATTGCAAGCAACTTTACCCACAGGTTTAGAATGCTGCAGAAAAGTTTTCAAGTCATCCCATACATTAGCAAAGTAACTCTGAGCACCATCTTCTTTAAAATTCAGTATCACATAATGATATAGAAGTTTAGCCTGGAAGGGACCTGAATGTCATCTAGTCTAATCTCCTGATAAACATAAAGCTAACTTCAAGGTTAGATCAGTTTGCACAGGGTAACATATAGTCAAGCTTTGAAAAATTCCAAAGATGAAGACTCAGCAGCCTCCCTAAGCAACCTGTTAAAATGTCATTGTGAATGTTTTTTTCCTTCTATCAAACTGAAATGCCCCTTGTTGCAAGCTGTGATTATTGCTACCCTTCCTTTGTTAAGTCAGTGCATCACTGAGAAGAGTTTGGCTCTGTCTTCTCTGTAATAGTCCTATATAACAGATTACAACCCCAGACCATGTATCAGAACGTACCACTTTTAGAGAAAAATTCATAACTCAAGAAGTGTATACAAGTAACAATCAGCTCATAAAATATTTGTTTGCCCAATTAATTAATGATTTGCCCTGCAAAAAAACCTGTCCCCTTATTGTCCATATTCCACATAAGAATCCACTTATACTAATCCATACTGTTAATTCTCATAAGAATAGAAAAGTGAAGTTCCACATTAAAAATAAAGAGTCCTGACAACCCAGAAAAGTATCTCATATGGTTGAAAAAATGCCACAGATAACATTTTCAGAGATCCTAGATATTTGAGCTTTGAAGGAAAGAAAGATTTAAGTAAGCGCAAAGCTTCTTCAAAGGAAAGCCTCCACAGATACTTCACCACCCAATGCCATTATGGGCATCAATGCAGGGAAAAGAAAATCTATATAGAAATACATCAGAAGCACTGAAATATACAAGATTGTTACAACATGCATTCACATTATCCACAGTTAGTAATAAAGGAGCCAAAAGAAAACTATTCCCAGTCCTGACATCTATCGATATTCTAAACAAAGAATGTAAGTATATGGGTTTGGTTTCTTGTGTGGAGTTTTCTTAAGAATATCTTAATATCAAAAATTAAATTAATTCTATCTCTTAGTCAAAGATCTTGCAGAATAGAAGTTCATCTTCTATTAACATCATCAATAAAACGAATGTAAAGGCTAACACAGAAAATTCCATACATTTAAAAACATTGAAGTAGTCAGTATTGTCTTTCCTGCCTTTCTGGTAACTTCACAGACCCTGCTCTTCAATGCGGCACTTTACAAATTGCACCTTCCAAATAAAGGAATTGGATTCCAAATTCCTTCCAAATAAAGGAACTTGTATTGCTTTTTGTGCAACAGGTTAATTGGTTATTCAGTACAGTAGAATTTCGTAAGTGTAGGCAGTAGGTAAATTCAAAACTGAATTTGAATCCACTTAATTTTAATACATGCACAGTATCATGACTACAGAAGGAAGAAAAACTGGTGATCCTTGTCAGGTGATCATTTAAGTGGTATGTTTTACAAGTGGGACAGCTTTTACAACAATATTATTCAAAGTAGGAACACAAAAACACATCAAAAACAAAGGATCATTGTTTTACTATGCCCAGCCAAGCAAGATGGTCATCGGACAAGCAGCCTCTTCTATTCACCCAATTATTCTCACCTCAGTGACAAGAAACAGAATGTGAAACACTGAGTTCCGTTCTTCCTCAGCTAGGTACACGCACAGATAATGGATAACACCATCTGCTGCAAGCTAGTTCAGTGTGATGCTAAATACTTAACCAAACTACTTCTCCGAAGCCCATGTTATATATCGACAAGGGAACAATAGCTGATGATTTTTCCTGCTAATTAGTATTTTAAAAATTACAAAGCTGCAAACCCATAAGATGTTGTTACAACTAAATTTACAACAGTAATTCTTTCACAATGAACCTAATTCATTGATTTCACAGCTGATAACAGGCAATTTGCAACCTCTACATTGTATCAAAATAACGCTGTCTATCTAATTCCAGAATCCCATGTCACTTCCTATAAGCAACATTAATAAATATTAACCACCTAAATAGATAGTAAAGCTAATTAAATATAAATATGATAAATAATTTTTTTAAATATAAACAAATTGAAATCTCATAAACTTAATTTAGGAAGCTAATACATTTGCCGTTTTGAGATAGGGAATTTCAAGGTCTGTTACCATCTACTGTGTCCCAACCGAACCCAAATATTTCAAGGAACAAAATCATCTTCCACGAGGGGGGGTAGGGGGGGATGGTGGTATTAAAAAAGAAAAATAACCTAATTGTCTTTTAATTCCCATGTCTTACTCAGCAAAGTTCTCTCACTTTACGGAGAACATTCTAACTACCAAATGATTGCTCAGTTTCAAGCACAACAATAATCCTTTCAGATTCCTGCAAATCACTCTACTGCTTGATTATAGCTACCTTTTAATGAGAATCCCTAGTCTGATTAGAGTAATCTCTGTGACTACTAATATTGTTATTTCTAACTTTTCTGATAATTTTCAGCAAGAAGTATGGCTAATATTCTCTTCTTCTAATTTAAGCACAACTGCCTGCCCACCTCTCATGGAAATTTTATACATTACTCCCACTTTTCACACTAAAAGTCTGCATTTCACCATCATTTTCTGTATCTCTATTTTTCCTAGACATAGAACATAACTAGGAAACATATCAGTTCTGTCAATGGTATGCCTAGCTTGTGCAAAAGTAGCAAGACTCTCCGCTCATGCTGAACTCTGCATCACCTGGCCAGATTTTGACCAGTCTTTGTCAGCTGCTGATCACACTGAAAATTCTATTAATGCTACCCCAGAAGACCCTATCAGGACATAGCTGAGTCTTTTTTAACCCCATTACTATTTCCTCTGCTACTGGGATTCCAAATCTGAAAAACTTCACATGAAATCATGTTTTAAAGATTTCCACGACCCCCACAATGTAACTATCTACCGTCATTTTTCCACTTCATAAAGGAAGATGAGCAGCTATTGGTACGTATTCTACACTGACAAATCCATAAAATCAGGTTCTAGCCATTGCAATCAAGACGTAACAGTAAAGTTGCCCATAACAAAAATTTTAGACAATCTGGAGATCAGACTTCTTGCTATCCTGTATCCACTGAACTCCTGAAAAGAGAATTCCTGAATCTAAATCACCTGCTGTATTTGGACTTTCACCATTGATCCATTTCACCCTACTCTTACAACCTAAATAAACTGCCAGGTCCAGCCTCACTCTCCTAATACACCTAATTTTGGCTGTCTAAGGATTATCATGAATGAAACAAAAGTTAATCTATGCCTGAATACTGCAGAAAGCTTCAAATTCCATAAAGACTGGCCACAGCAGTAAGATTTAACTGCTGCCTACAAGTTCTCATCGAGATTCTCCGGTGGAACTGGTTGTCTTCTCACAATTCAGAGAAAACACACTGCCTATCCTGCTTCTTAATAAAGTATTTTCCAGCTCTCCATAAGCCAAATATGGCTGTCTTGAAGAACTACATGCATATCGAGTAAAATTAAAAAACATGTATTACTACTGTATGTGCCAATGTATTTGGTTTCACTAAGGAAGTACTTGTCAACTCAGTTTAAATTTTTTAAGAGCAGACAAGATCTTTACTATCTGTATCCTAAGATTCAACTCATCCTCCACTATTTTTGAAGAAAATGTTACACTAATATCACATTAACACAAGATAAATTTTAGTGATATAGGAACAGCATTAGCATAAATTATTGCAGCATTCCTCCAGTAAAAGCACGAGTGTACTATTTCTTCAAAAGATGAAGAGCTCAGTGTTTAATGATTTTACTCATTTGGAAGTGTAAACAAGTATCTGTAAACTAGAAAAGCATTTATCATATTATCAACTCATACCTTCTTCAAAATACTTGAAAATTTTTCTTAGCTTCTATCCGTTGTGTATAAAGACTTCAGGGTTTAAGTAAATGCCTCTTCTACTTGGAATTTTACCAGCAAGGTTTTCTTTAAATAGCACTTTTAAAACTCCTAAGAATCTAAAATAATTTTTATGCAATCATTGTTTTAGTTAAATTTGTCCTATCATCTGACATCATTTTGGAATTACCTACCTTTACACCCATTTTTAACGAAGACATCATTCTTATGGCTGAGAAGAATTTCTTAGTACGTATAATTCTATCAAAGCAGCAATTAAAAAAAAATATATATAATCAATTCAAAACATAGACTTGCATTACTGCAATAGGTGGTGTTTACCTTCGCTGTCTAAACACGAGAGATCCACTATTCAAGAAAAGCAGGTAGACATAAAGCAATGACCTAAGAACCAGCAGCTGACCAATTTACCACCTTCTCAGTTTAAATACATAATGTTGCTTCAGTCCTTGTCTTTTGTATGCGAATAAAAATAACCATTAATGTTTCACAGAACTACCAGCTACAAAATTTTCAATCTAAATTTGGATAACTAGAAACTGCCAGAACCAAACTAAGCATAGCTTATCTTTTATATATTTTTCTAATGATTTTATGTTCTCTTCACAGGTATTTTGAAAAACAATAAGGTTTTAGGATCAAAGGGAAAACATTTTTCTCATCTACTTTAAGATACAAGTATACCATAATCTAAACGTGTAACATTAAACCTGCTTGTCTCTCTATTAAGGTTGTTCAGTCAAAAATGTAAGATTATGAGAAAGGACAGAAGCAGATCCTATTTAAGAAGTACCTTTAACACTGAATCTTATCTCCTACTGGGCCTACTGAGTCAACAGTAGAGAATATGACTCTGATTCAAAAAAGCAATTAAATGCATGTTTAATACAAAACACATTAGGCAGTCCCAAAGGACAACTGAACCGAAGAAAATTATTTCAAAGACGCCTTACAGAAGTTCCTTCAAATAGTCTTGGGGTTCTCAACTCATTAAACTTCTCATATTGAATTATTACAATCCTTTTCTGTTGAACTCAAATAAGCCTTATGTACTTAATAGTTTTTCCTTTAAAATAAAAGAATGCATTACTGCGGTGTTCTTTACATTGCAAATCTCACATATTTCACAGCATTCTCAGCTCAAAAAAACCCCAAACGAAACTACTATCTTAGCTTTTCAGTAAAGCTTACTACTGTGAAGCAATTGTACCCCATCTGCTTGGTTTAGCCAGCTGAAACAAACAGATAAATGAAATCATCTTTCATAAAAATTTAAACTTGCCATGACTTTGGCTCCCCAAAATGGAGATAATTAATACTGTAGAGATCCATGTCTTCAGTGTGCCATGCAAATGTTGTTTTCCACATGCCAAAATATAGATATGGTGTATTTACACCCTCAATAGAAATTCCACAGTCTTCTCCTACAACATCCAATATTGTATTAAGATGGGCAATATTCCATTCCTCAATACCCTGAAAGAGATACATAATAAATGTATTAATACATTTATAAAGTAATGCCATTTTATATAATAGTTTCAGTCAAAAGATACACACCTGATCTAGCCCTTCAAAAGACTGTAGATTAATACAAAATCGTAAGCACTTTAGAATACAGTTGAAGTTACCCAAAGAAAAATTATCTTGACCTTAGTAAGATTTAGATCGAGCTCTAAGTCTGAGATGGTCAGCACATGGAACATAAGGAAGTTCATATCTGCTTAACACTTAATACATCAGATCTAACATGGATTGAAACACCATACACAATAGAAATAATAGCTGCAGACAAAAATCTTTGATGAGTTGGTAGCTGGAAGCTGCTAAGTTTCACTGGGCCTATCTACGCTTTTTAATTACTCACAAAGTAATACTAAATAGTATGAAAAATTATTTAAAAATTTAATTTACATTCATAAAGTTATAATTTCTCTGAAAAGTATACAAACTAAAACCATTCTATCACTTCAGAGGTATTTCTAACCATAATGATATACTGCACAAGAAATATACCACAGAAGAAATCTATTGATTTCATGGGATTTCAGCTGTTTCCTTATATTATTGCCTATAAAATTTGTATATTAAAAGCCATTCAGAAAGCCATGTATGTAGTTTTTGTTGTATTTCAGATTCATCCACAAAGTGCAATTCTAATTTCAGGTAATACAGCATATAAGAGTCAATATAACCAAGATGAAAGCTACAAAACTGAAGAGAAAGAGATTAGACTTCATTATAACAGCAATTATTATCACCTCCAGGGAAGACATTAGCTGGTGTTCAAGCAGTCAGGGAAAAAAAAAAAAAAAAAGAATCAAAACTATTACAAACCCAATTCAGGCAAGTTTCTTTATTGGGAAGAAAGCCTCCAAACATGCTCTTAACCACACCCCTATCACTGAACTATACACAGTTCTGGTAATCTCACTTAAATTTGAGGAATGAATTGATGGAAGACAGAAGTCCTGATGCAGCTGATTAAGACTAAGAAAAATGGTGACACTCAATAGTTGAGCAGGTGGTGAAGTAAGAACACAAGTTAAAGCAAGAAGTAAGGAACATTTAATATTCTCAGTTTTCACTTCCTTGGTTTTTGAGATTTTATGTCAAACATGTTACATATGCAGCAACTAAAATTGATAAACAAGATGGTAAATTCTGTATGAAGTTCAAACTTCTCATTGAACAAGCACTTTTGACTGTCTGCTATGGCTATTTCGTTTAGTAAGAAAAACTACCTTTAAGTTATCTGGGACTTATACAAAGGAGTAAAGGACTTTTACAGAATTAGTTCATTCCAGCAAGCAATTTATGTCCTTTTTTTTAAAATGGAAGCTTTGTCTTTGATACATTTGTGTGACATAAAGGAACTTGAAATTAAAAGAAAATTAATATAATGACCATTATCAAAGAAAAAAAACACCAATATGAACACAAATAGTAGATGCTGATAAAATTTGCACCTTTCAAATCTAAAAATCATAATCACCAGCAAGGTAGTAGATCTATAAAATAGAAAATTTGTTTGAATAAATATCTTTAACTGATTATTCCTTAAATTAATTTACAGATTTATTTTTTTTAATCACATGAAATTTATCTTTGTTAACAATTGCACACAGTCAATTCAGAGAAAATTAATACAGCAAAATAAGAGCAATGATTCAACCATGTAGGCATAGAGACACAGGGTTAGAAGACAACAACAAATATACCAGATAAAAATCAACTGTTAATCTAGGCACTATATTCTTTTGGACAGTGGCCAAAAGCAGACGAGAAACAGTGTAAGCAAAGCAGTACTCCCCCAGAATAACCTTCCAGCCTGCAGCAATTTTCAGATTGAAGTTTTCTCTAGACAGAGTTGTTATCCTTCTACTTATCAGTACCCTGTGGGCTTTTTACCAATTCATTTGTCGATTCGCCTTCTTTAATCCATGTAATCTTTTAGCAACCATAACATCCTGAAATCTTACTCTTCTGTTACTAAGAATTAAGTGATAGTTAAGAGAATAATTTAATTTTTTTTTTAACAACATTGCACCTTTTCACACTCTGTTAAGTCACAACTAGTCACCAAGCAAATTGCTAGTTGTTTGTCCCCAGAACAAATCCTCCCAAGGAGAACAACCGTAGGAGGAAAAGCTTGTTTCAAAATACCAAACATACAAAATACACAATCTACAACCTCTTCACTCAAGATGTATGAGCTAGTTCCATTTCCTAAAGACTATTTTGGAGAAGTAGTCTTAGCTTAAAAGGAAACATTCACTGAAATTGGTTGAAACACTAAAATCACAGATTCATTTTAACTCTTCCTACATTCCTTGAACTTAAAAAAAAAAGTTTTATATTTATGCCTAGACTGTTACAATTAATTATTACAAATTATTATTAAAGCTTAGTTTCCCTCACAGATATATATTACAAAATATTAAGTAAAATGCTTACATGAATTTTTAAGTAAAATATCAATTCTAACTTTTCCACTTTTCCAATAGTTATATAACTGGTTTTAAGATTTACAATTGCAATGCACACTAGAAAGATCACAGGAGCTGTAAAAGAGCAGTTTAACAGGTCAATACATAATACTACTTCTCAAAATTAAAGTATATGTTAGCAGGTTATGCTATATTTAATAACCATTATTAGAACAGCAGTACACACATTACTGACCATGAGGTGTAGCTGGTAGTTTCTTACAAATACAAAACCCAGTTAGACACTATAATCTACTCAATATTATGTAATATCTAATATTTATTCTGCTTAGAATATCACAATAATATCAGAATACTATAATAATTTCAAGGCAATGTGTAAAGAAAGTTTTTCTAATTTATCCACATTTTTGATGGCAAATTCTTTAAACAATAGCTATCATCTCTGACAAGTGTACCACACAATCCAAGATCTGGAAAAAAGCTGAAAAATTACATGTTTTTCTTTCTCTACTATGACAAAGAAATACAGGCTTGAAACATCTTACCCTCTATGGTTGTTGCTATGCACATTAGACTCAATTTGTATTTATTCAGAAAAACATTGTAAGGTACATCACAGTTTATACAGAAGACTTATTCCGATCCTCACTAATTTTGTAGATGATTCCAACTTACTGTAAATTACTATCAAGAGGTTTTACAACTCTTAACAGCCCCTGAACCAGCTCTTAATGCAATGTGAAGATAAAATGGGACATTTGAGAAACAGCTTTCAAGTATCTGAATACTTGCACAGTTTAGAAGAAGCTGACCCGTTCCTTTCTCAAAGAAACAAAGGAAAAAGGAGTTTTCCTTACACTGGTAAAAAGTGAAGCTCAAGGTTTTAAGAAGTGATCTCTTGGCAGTCAAGAATAAGATAGGGTCCAAATGAAATTATTTTTTATTCATTTCCTTTTTTTAAAGTACAGCAACATGATACTGTCCTTTGCACTTTACTTAAACACATCAGTCAACAGTGCAATGTATTCTATTTTTATGAACACAATTTCTGTATGTGTATGTTAATACACACAATCCTTTTTCAGTGTTTAATTTTTCCTGTGATTATCTCATGGATTCATTTCAATATTAACCTGGCAAATAAGACATCTGTTCTACAACTAGGATTAAAAAGCCCCTATGACTGACTCTAACAGCTCAAATAATAAAGAGTAAAAAAACTAATTAAGAGGCAGAGTGAAAAGGAGTAGGAGAAATATAAAGAAAAATTTGTGCTTGATCACCCACTCCTCTCTCCACACACCCACTCACTCACACCGATGAATATAATAAAAAAAACTACCAGATTTTTATGGCTTCTCAAAGTGCATAAAATACAGACAGAAAAATGCTATGAACAGAATCTCTGCGCCATAAACACACAGATTAGGAAATACAAACAATCTCCCTCATTTGGCCTCTTTTTTTCCTTTTCGGTATCTATTCGGATATAACTATTGCTTTGCAGCACCCTTTTGAAGGGTGTGGAAAAAGAAAAAAAACAGAAGCAAGGAGATTCTCTTTGGAGATGAACACTAGAACCAAACATGTAAGTGAAAGAATGCTCACATTGATCTGAACTATGAGAAGATTATAGAGAAAGGATGTCTCACACAACCATGTGCTAAAACATGCAAAACGTTATACACTTAGAAAAAATTATGAGTCCATGTCCCCTCATTAAGCTACCCAGCAACATCCAGTACATACTGTAAAGAATGACAGACAAGATTATGGCTGTCTTTTGCAAACTGACTATCTGTAGGACTATCTCAGCAAGGATGGAGAAATCCACAATCTCTCTGGGCAACCTGTGCCAGGGCTCAGTCACCCTCACAGTGAAAAAGTGTTTCCCGATGTTCAGGAGGAGCCTCCTGTGCTTCAGTTTGTGCCCATTGCCTCTGGTTCTGTCACTGGGTACTGCTGATAAAAGCCTGAGTCCACCCTGTTTGTACCTTTCCTGCAGGTATTTATATACAATGATAAAATCCCCCTGAGCCTTCTCTTCCCTAGGCTGAACATCCCAGCTCTCTCAGCCCTCTCACATATAACAGATGCTCCAGTCCCTTCAACATCTTAGTGGCCTTTCGCTTAACTCTCTCCAGTAGCTCTGTACCTCCGGGGACAGATGGAGAGCCCAGAGCTGGGGACAAGACTTCAGGTGTGGCCTCAGCAGTGCTGAATAAAAGGGAAGGATCATCTCCTTTGACCTGCTGGCAGCATTCCTCCTAATGCAGCACAGGACACCATTAGCCACCTTTGCTGCATTGGCACATTGCTAGCTCATGCTCAACTGGTGTCCCTCAGGATCCCCAAAGGATTTTTCTGGAAAACAGCTTTCCAGCCTGCCAGCCCACAGCAGATACCCCATACACCCAAGATTTTTTTTTGTCAGGTGCAGCACTTTGCATCTCCCCTTCTCGAACTTCATGAGGTTCCTGTTAGCCTGTATCTCCAGCCTCTCAAGGTCCCTCTGCATGTCAGCATGACCCACTAGCATATCAGCCGATCCTCCCAGCTTTGTATCATCTGCCAACTCTGCCCCATCATCCAAATCATTAATGAAGATCTTAAACAGGACTGGACCTGGTATTGATCCCCGGAGTACACTTAGAAGTCTTTCTTTTTGCCTTCAACATGTCTCAGATTCAATTCCAGGTAGGCTTTGACATTCCCAGTTGCATTTCTGCATACTTGGACAGCGTCTCTATATTCCTCCCATATCCCTGCTTCTACCTCCTGTATATTTCATGTTTATGCTTGAGTTTTGTTGACAAGTTTATTGGTCATCCATGCAGGTCCCCAGCATTTTTCCTTGACTTGCTGCTCATTGGGACGGACCGCTCTTGAGCTTAGACGAGGTGAATACCAACCAGCTTGCTTGGGCCTTTCTTCTCTCCAGGGCCTTATACCACAGGACTCTACCTCTGAAAAAAACAAAGTCTGCTATCCTGAAAGGTTGTGGTCCTGCTTTCTGTCTTGACACCTGCTCTTAAAATCCTGAACCCCACCATCTCATGGTCATTACAGCCAAGGCTACCTTCGACCTTCACATCCATAACAAGTCCTTCCATGTCTATGAGTACAAGGTCCCACAGACCACTTTGGTCAGGAAGTAGTCATTGATGCTCTCCAGAGACTCTTGGAGTGTTTATGCCCTGATGTTCTCCTGCAGCCTTAGGTTAAGTTACTATTCAGATGCCATGCCTAACTTATTCCATAATCAAATCCAAACTCTGTACATAATGTCAAGGTGCTGCTTTAAAATCAAGTTAGCTGCTTTGTCAAGGGATACAGTAGGAAACGAATAGATTTGTTGCAAGAGCTAATATTACATGAAAGATGTACCTATAATTTAGCAAAAATAACCAACTGTTGGCCTAGAAACTCTACTGAATCAACCACTCTTGTATTACTAATCAAATATGCTGCCCACAGCTTAGACATGGGAGAAGGTAGGCATTAGGAACTGTTTTATCAGGAGGAACTAAACTCCAGAAGGAAAAGGGAAGTGGTATCTTCAAGACAAGAGCTGAAGAGGAGTGGTGAGTCAAGATAATATTTATATATGCTTCTTCCAAACCTTGGCTTTTCCCTACTGAATAGCAGATTCCATTGACAGCACTGAAATCAGATGTTTTTTATGACCCATTATAAACATCAGATCATTCACTTTTCTTTGGAAGTTCTTTTGAAACCAGGAAGACTTTTTTCCCCTAGTTGTTAGATCAGTCCATGTAGGAGTATGATACGTCTTCCCCATCTGTCCATACAAATACACTTTCAAGTTAATTTAAAAAAAAAAAAAAAAAGAAAAAGGAAGAAACAGAAAAAGTTAATGTGAGCTCCACATATCTCATACAACAAGGAATCAACTGGTGGCCTCGGTGATTGGTGGTTTGATTTAAACAAGTTGCGAGTCGCATGGAAGTGGAAGGTCTAATGGTAGTTCACCAGAACAGAGACTACACAAAGAAGTAGGTTATTCGTACTCTTCAATTTACTTACAGATACAACTGCCAGGTAAGTTAGTAAAAAGCCAAAAAAGTTATATCAGAAACAAAATAACTCTCTTCCTTCCCCTTTCTGACACGTACAGTAACTTTTTGCAACTGTTTCACAGGTTAGTCTTTCATAGTCTAAGCTGGCTCAAGCTGGCCTTAAAATAACACTACCACACAAGGACGACAGCTGTCTTGAAATAACATAATGAAAAATAATCACTTCTCAATTAAACTTCCTCAACAATCATATCTCTTAAGGTGTTCATAATGCATTCATGACTCAGTAACAACTGCAGCTACTGAGACATTATAAACTCTTTCAGGAATATTAATTTTCACTCAGGTCCAGATGACCTTACAGCAACAAAAAGACAGAACCTTGTACAGGTATCTAATAATGTTTATAATCTTAACATAAATAAGTACCCTTACAATCTATTCCTTAGTGCAATGCTTCTTCTTGAGTCACCTACATTGTCCTTCTCCTATAAAGCACTGTAATTAAATGTAACAGCAATTAAAATGCATAGAGCACAGAATAATATTTCAAGCAAACATTCAACTATCTTAAATTTATTTTCTATAAAGCTGTGTACAGAACACTTGTTTGCATAGGTTATTTTCTTATTCATAAACATTTAATCTATGTTCAAAACCATTGAATAACCATAAATACACTACAAATACACAACAGAGACTCTGGAATAATCCAAACATCACAAGGGTAAACTTTGAATCATTGATGGTAGCTGTTAAATTTCAAAGCATGCATTTGTAGCTTTGTTCCTGGTTGGTTGGTTGGGTTTTTTTGCTGTTCCATATAACACAGGCTTTATAACTTTCACCCATTTTCCAAACCCCTCAGAATCTGTCATTCTCTGATCTAAGAAGAGCAAATACTACAATCTGTGATAGCTCTCACACAATGCCAGCAAGGTGCTGGATTCCACAAATAACAATATTGTTTCTTAAATAATCTAAATAGTAAAAATTAAAGCTTCATTATGCTTCAAATACAGATGTTTCAATGTAAAATTGAACATCACCATGTGGAAAAGAAAATGTAACTGGTAAACTTTTAAAGTAAAGAATAAGTACTTGCAGAACAGCACCATTTTTAAGTAATTTTGATGGCCCAAGTACACATATACATCACACTCACTAAGTTTCTGGTGGTTTTCCACGTGGAATTCTGCCAGATACTCACCTTTCTGTATTAAATTAAATATCTATAACACACCGTTTTCTATAAAGTTTTTGCATTTTGTAAAAAGCAAGAATTTGGGTTTGTTTATTGCAAATAGGCTGTTACGACAAATTAATCCCACCACCATCCCCTTTCTGCTGTGTGTTGCCCAACTTGTCATCTATAGTTGTATTCATCTCCTTCCCCTGACTAATGACAATCCTGAAGCTAACTGACTTAAGACGTAAAAACAACTTCTAATTCCAAACAGTCAAAAAAAAATCTTTTCTTGGCACGATCTTCAAGTGTAAGACATGAAAAACATTAGTTGTGCAAGTACACCACCTGCTGGCCAAAAATTAACTTCTGCAAAAATATTCTACGAGAAAACATTTTGGTCAGTGGCATCCATAACTTTCTCACCAGCAGTTTGGTACCAGGGTGGGTTTGGGTTTTTTTTCCTTCTTTTCCTTTACACCACACTGGGCTGTACACCATGATATGGCTGTCACATTAACTACTCTGGCTGTTCACACTCCTTCCTCGGTGTCTATTCCTTTCACTAATATTTCTCCTCTGTTATTTATCTTTGAGTAATACCCATTTAATCATAGCCATGAAGGTTTTTTTATTCTACCTATTACTACTGTCTTCCCCACTCCTTTATTCCCCTCTGCCTGCAACTTTCAGTGCTTTGTTTCCTCTTCCTATGCACCTAACATCCAAGTTAAGATTGCTGAATGCTGCTCTCCTCACTCCATTCTTTGCTTTTTTGACCTCCCTGCCTCAACCTCCCAATCTAATGAGAGCGCAATTCCATGAGAAGGAAATCTTTGATCTTCTCTTTGACCAGTCAGCACTTCAAAATGGAATATTACTGCATTCTTATTTCTTTGGAAACGCTGCTCATGCAACAGTAATCCTAAGATACTGAAGACCAAAGCAAACACAATCAAAACAAAGTGTACGCTTGTAAAAAGCTACACCAGAATGCATTATCTGCCAACATTAAAGAAAAAAAGAATCATAGAAGAAAAAGAAAAAAGGCAAGCTTCTATTTCTTGAAAAGAAACACTGCTTTTCTGTGCCCCATTTTGGTATTCACAAAGCAACAGTCATCTAGAATGTCTCTTCACCAAAACACCCCAAATCAGAATCTTCAATGATTTTCTAAATTCTTTTTATACAGTTATTTGGACACACAATAGAATTTGGACTTGCTGCTTTCTCTAAACAATAGACTATCAGACATTTATAGCTATCTTTCAAAGATCACATAACCTAGTGCAAAAATTGAATTGCCTTAAGCCATCTTGGCTGACCATATTTATCTTTGGACAGAGTCTTCAAGTAATTTGTCTTCTGTGAAGAAATATGAAATACTAGCAGAGCCTCAAACCATCTGCCACAGGGAAATTCCACCTTTTTCTTTTTTTTTTTTTAATGACTGGAGAAGGCAGTTACACAGAACATGAAATAACTCAAGAACTCCACACATGGTAGATTCTTTTGGAGAAAAGTTTGCCCTGTTTTTTTTAAATCCTCAAATCTTTTTTGAAATGCTGACACTTCTTCTGTTAGTCTCATTACTTAAATAATCCTTTCAAAATCCAGTTCCTATAGCAACTTACATAGTGTAATTTATATCAATGGATAGTCTGTAATTCTTTGGATAATGAGATCTGTGTTGAGTCCCTTTCTATCTGTGGAGATCTTGGCAAGTGACCAGCAAAACTCATTTCCTTAGGAAGTTTCCATTTCGTCTGTTTTAATGCAGAGGTATACAATAATTGTAAGCACATTTCCAGGAAACTGCAGGTATTCCAAGCATGTATAAAGTACAGCTATCAATTTTCCTCAGTGAAAGAGAGAGAAGTAAAGGATTTAATCTTTCAATTTTAAAAAGTTACTTAAAATATCACTAAATTTCCACAGAGGTACACAGATAACACACATACTGAAATATTAATAAACAAATAAATAAATAGGAAGGAATCTCAAAGTTCTGGAGAGTTCAAAGTGAAGAAAGGGAAGAGTCTTATGATCTGGAAGAGTAGCAATATCCTACTGTCTAAGGACAGAACTGTCTAACTCTTGCAGATGTAGAGTCAATTTCAACCTTGCTTGGAGCCTTTAAAGTGAGTAACACAAAGATTTCAAAAGAGAGACAGATTCTCAGTCACAAAGCAAGAATGTATCCTCTAAATACAGTACCCTTTAAAAGAGGGCTGGAAGAGATAAACTTCATAAAAAGCTATGCGTACTTCATCATAAATGCTCCCATTGATATCTGCTCCATAAATTGGTGCCACAAAAGTCAAGTTCTTCCAGTATTTACGCTCCAGATCTTCATAATCTACGTATCTCGGTGTGCAGTATCTGCGAAGGAAGAGGTAGGCAAAGGTTCAGCATAGTCTTTCAACAACCACCTTCACAATGGACTATGCTCTGATAGCTTCTGATTATGCAAACTGAATTCTAAGAGATCACTTTATTTCAAATTCATTGAAATAGAGAAATTATTAGTTATCTTGAATTCTTAGTTTCATGATTCACCATAGCATGTAACCTGCTACCTGACAGCTACAGTAACACAAGTCATACATCTACCCATACAACATTTTCTTCCGTCTCCAGCAGCTAAACAGCACATCTACTGACTGTCCTCAGGCTGAGGCCCTCCCCTTTGTTTCTTCTCCATAAAACAGACATACACAGAAAAGCCACTTAATTGACAAGTATTTATTATTTTCCTGCCTCGCTACCAGCTCTGCAAAGACTGGTCCTACCCAAAGGTACGTCTTGCAAAAGCCTGTCTCAGAACAACTCAAATGTACTAATTCTGCCAAGTAGCAGCCCTGCCAGGCAAAACCAGTACTTTCCTCTCTTCTTCCTTCCCCAGAAAAACGTTTTCAGGAAAGGCATAATATTTCAAACAGTTGATACCAAGAACTAAGTAGACTAGGTACGTTTACATCATGCGATAACACAAAACAGAGACAAGCAAGTTAGCAAAGCACACCTTAACCAAATCCTTCTCAGCAACAGAGTTGTTTCAATTATTTCTCATGATCAGAAATCAAATTGTATTTCTGCTTCACACTGAGTAATGTGAATACATAAAGTCAGTTACCATAACACAAGTATCTTGATTACAGGATACAGGTATGCCCTTAATTCACAGAGGTCAAGGTGGAGAAGAACCTTGGTTCAATGGTGAATTGCAAATGCTTAAACAAATGAAAGATGCAATGCATTAGACTGAGCACACGCAATCCTTTTAAAGGCAACTATGATTTAAATTAGATGTTCACGGCCCTTCTCTCTTTCCCAAAGGAAGAATAAAATTGTTTTTACAGGAGAATAGGGGCTCTCAGCTACTTAATTGTTTAAGAAATATGCATTAAGAGTGTCATAGGAGGTTACATGGCACATCTTCTCAAGAGCAGTGACAAATATGTAGAAAGACCCACAGCTAGTAAGTAATACTTATGAAGCCCTCTCAACTGTTCTTAACTTTACCTACGAAATGAAGTCATAAACTGGTTTCAGTACAACAAGGAAACTGAAATCAGAAACACTTCCAAAATATCTTCCATGATTAAGAATATAATAAACTTAATTAATATCATGATACATGTTAAAACCTTCACAGTATTTCTGCATTATCAAACTATTTTAAGAAATGAGTGTTTCTCATTTTATCATGGGTTAATCAAATGTAAACTTTTAACATATATAAACAGGTATCACAGAAAATTACATCAGATACCATACAGGTTTCATATTTTATTCTCCCCTCTAACAGTTACCAAATAAATAATTTTAAGAACAACAAAATAGGTTCCCATTCCCATTTACCAGAGGAAGAAAACTGTGTGATAACAACAATTTTTCACAAGTAATATAGGGGCAGGAACACACAGATCCTTTTTAATTGAGAAAAGGAGATCAGTTTTGCAATTTTACAAAGGCACGAATATTATGGAACATCGGCTGAAGAGCCTCTTTAGAAGCTTTTCATGCCCTAGTTTTCCTGATCTTCATAACAGCTTCTCTTCTTACCTCTTAATTTCTTAATTTAACTTACAAGAAAATTTTCTTTCAAACTAGGGCAGTGTTACCTTCCTTCATTATATTCAATTATCTTTTCTCTCTAGCATCCTTTAACTCACCTTCCAGAAGTTATTTCCAGTCAGTTTCGAGGAAATACTGAAGGAGAATTTATTCTTTTTATGTGGCCATAAGGGGAATAATTCCTTCTCTCACTTCCCTCTTCTTGGAATGCCCATCAATCTGAAACTTTTTAGTACAGTGCCTAGCCCTTCATAGACTTTTTTCCCATCCCTTAATATCCAACTTCCCATAGCCAGAACACAGACATTCACTAGGAGGAGCTGAGTTGTCTGAAATTAATGCAAAAACTTGTGGGTGAGTTAAAAAAAATATGTTGAGTTTTTTTTCAGTAAAAAGTAGATAAGGCCATCCCAGCCTTTAGGAAAAAAAAAAAAAAAAAAAAAAAAAAAAAAAAAAAAAACCTTTAAACATTTAACATTAATAAGCATACCCAAACTAAGATGCAGATATAACTCTGTCTCATCTTCATGATTTTCAACACAAACACTTGTTAGAATCATAGAATCATTTTGGTTGAAAGAGACCTTTAAGGTCATCAAATCCAACCTTTAACCTAACACTGCCAAGTTACCACTAAACCACAACCATCAGCAGTACAGCTACACATCTTTTAAATATCTCGAGGGATGGTGACTCAACCACTTTCCTGGGCAGCCTGTTCCAATGCTTGATAAGCCTTTCTGTGAGGAC